CATTGTTAGAGGCAGTCTTCGTCATTGTTAGAGCAGCCTTCTTCACTGTTAGAGGCAGTCTTCTTCATTGTTAGAGCAATCTTCTTCACTGTTAGAGGCAACCTTCGTCATTGTTAGAGCAATCTTCTTCATTGTTAGAGCAGCCTTCTTCATTGTTAGAGGCAGTCTTCTTCATTGTTAGAGCAATCTTCTTCATTGTTAGAGGCAGTCTTCTTCATTGTTAGAGCAATCTTCGTCATTGTTAGAGGCAGCCTTCGTCATTGTTAGAGGCAGTCTTCTTCAGTCTTCTTCATTGCAAGGCCCCCGAGGCCACTGGCTGCCCCTGGCGGCCTTTAGTGCGGCCTCTGACGTGTGGCCCCCCACAATCCACAGCAACAACACGTGACAACACCACCCCCCATCATCATCGTGCTACTGTCACCCCCCCTCCCCCCCGATGGTTTCAAATGCGTGGCGGCCCTCACGCGCTCAAGTCTTATCGGCGAAAGTGTCCCTCTCTCTGAAAATGAGCGAAGAACACTGGGTTAGCGAGTACTGCGCTATTATCAACTTCGGCGACATGCGTTCCGATTCCCCGGGCCACGGCTAACATCAGTGGCTAATTATAGTTATCTGAACCATTCCTGCCAACGCCCTCCCTAAAAACGCACTGACCAGCGTGGTGAAGTACGGTCAAACAACCTCCATGACCGACTCGGCCTGGGGATGTCCTTCATCCAGCGGTGGATTGACAAGTGGCTCTACTGTAACAACTTGTGGGAGAGTTTGGAACAACAGCTGTTGACAAAGAGCAGCGAGAATAAACGCAGCGAAGTAAGCACGCTCCACAGCTGGTATCGATTCGTTTGGAAGCGTTCAGAGTCGTGTGGATCGTTCTATAAGTCTATCCCCTTAAATCCGACTTAATCTGAAGTTACACACACACATTGCGAATAAGCGCATGAACCACACCACGCTAAATACGCTCGATCGATGGAATTTGAAGCAGAGATGATACGAAATGTGTTCTGAACGGGAGATCGCCATGCACAGCAGGTGCTATAGACTGCGGAGTGGGGGGGGGGGGGTTCAAGTGCAGCAACACATCCATCCGTGCACTGTGTGTGTGCTATATACTTCTACGCTTCCAGCCTGTACCAGTACCCACAAATCGATATGAATTTTGGTCAAACATCACCCCACGCAAATGTCGCTCACGGCGTCCAGGGGTGCTGCTCATCCGGCAGTGGATGGACATCTGAAGTAGCGTAACATCTCCAATTGTAAATACATTAACAAACAATGCATTAACATCTCCAATTGTAAATACATTAACAATACATTAACATTTCCAATTGTAAATACATTAACAAACAATACATTAACATCTCCAATTGTAAATACATTAACAAACAATACATTAACATCTCCAATTGTAAATACATTAACAAACAATGCATTAACATCTCCAATTGTAAATACATGAACAAGCAATCCATTAACATCTCCAATTGTAAATACATTAACAACCAATATACGAACATCTCCTATTGTAAATACATTAATAAACAATACATGAACATCTCCAATTGTAAATACATTAACAAACAATCTATTAACATCTCCAATTGTAAATACATTAACAAACAATACATTAACATCTCCAATTGTAAATACATTAACAAGCAATGCATTAACGTCTCCAATTGTAAATACATTAACAAACAATACATTAACAAACAATACATTAACATCTCCTATTGTAAATACATTAACAATACATTAACATCTCCAATTGTCAATACATTAACAAACAATACATGAACATCTCCAATTGTAAATACATTAACAAACAATACATTAACATCTCCAATTAGCACATACAGTACAAAAAAAGAATAGTTCACAATTGTATCAGATCGGAACCCAAAACTATATTAACATATATATGTATATACGATACCGTAGCAAATTATGTGTATAAAATATAAAACACTTTTTTTCGCTGAATGCGTATTTTTATCTGACGCGGTGATTCGAATTCAACAAGAGCTCAGCACCCAGTGAATGTCACGTTGAAGATTCATTGCTCGGATCTCCTTTCTAAGAAAGTCAACGAATATATAAACGCCCCTTTTCCATATTTGTCTCTCTCCATTTAAAGATAAAAAAAACCCCGGCATTGTTTACACAACCCATCGGCAGAACGGAATTTTGGAAGTGCATCTTATGAGCAGTATTTCAAGTAGTGGTGATTGGTTGGATGCATGCAAATTAACACTCTACCGGTTTCACATTCAGTATCTCACATCAGTAGGCGTCGGCTTGCTCGAACCATTTGCTGATCAACGATGTTTATAGATAGGCAATTAACTATATACAATATACACACAACATAATCATTATTGAGAATGTCAATAACCCCTGTATTTGTCTCCCCAACAACATAAATGCTGTAATAATTAAACGTATTCAATAAAAGTGCACAGCACATTAAAAGCATAAAAAACACAATCCAACCTTTTTTATTCACTCCGTGTGCTCTCTCTGCGATCACCAAAGACATCAAAAATTGTTTGGTAGACGACAATGACAAAGATCCCACGTGTTGGGATCTTTGTCTGTTGGAGAAAGTGCTGTTAGCGAGTAGCACCCATGAAGGCCGGAACGTCACGCAACGTACCAGGTACGACCTATAGGGGAGGCCCTGGACCGCGATACAAATATCCGGCACTGATGCTGGCCATGAACAAGGTTCCAACTCGGCTTTTCGTAGCGCAGTCACACTACCGCTCGGTAGAACACAAAGACGACACAAAGATCCCCCCGTATAGGCTGTAACAAACATACGTTTGGAGCAAGTGCTGGTAAGCGAGCACCTATGAACGTCGATACGGTACACGAGGGGATGGGTGGTCAGCACCACGCCTGACCGCCTTTGTCTCCGCTAGTGGCGATGTTCACACGCCATATTTGAGGCTGAGTCGACCTAGGGAAGGCCCCAGGACCGGTTCACATAATGTGATCGTCACTGGCGTTGACCGCGAGCGGGTATCGAACTCGGTTGGCCGGGGGGGGGGTGGTTCGTAGCGCAGCGTAGCGCTCACCGCTGCGCCACCGCTCTCCACGGACACACAGACACAAAGACAAAGATCCCCCGTATAGCCTCAACAGACTGTATGAGCAAGTGATGTTAGCCAGCACCTATAAAGGCCGGAACGGTACACGAGGGGGTGGGTGGCCAGCACCACGCCCGACCGCCTTCGTCTCCCCAGTGGCGATGTTTACACACCGCACCAGGTACTCATTTCAGGCCGAGTCGACCTAGGGGAGGCCCCAGGACCGGCTCAGATAATCAGCCACCGGTGTTGGCCGTGAGCGGGAATCGAATCCGGGTCGCCAGGTTCATAGCGCAGTGCGCTAACCGCTCCTCCACCGCTCCCCACACACACAGAGACACGCACGCACGCACGGTCTGCGTACATACGGCCACGTGGAGACGAGAGAGACACGAAATCATCGCGGGCGACTTCTCACACGAAGGGCGATTATGACGCAGGAAGGAGGCCTCGTCTCAAAATGGCTGCTGAGGTCACGTCGCAAACAAAACAAAATAAACTCCTCCATAGGACGGCCAAGACGAATAAGAATATAAACAATGAACGGACGAGAAGCCAGTTGAGGGGGGGTGGAGGCGTGGGGGGCTTTTGTTGCTTCGTAACTCGTCGTGGCTGTGAGCGCGTTCAATGGGACGGTGCGGCCACGGACTCGGTTCGCGCGAGGCGTTCGCGACGCGACGCGACTCGCTTGTAAACGCGCCTAGCGCGCCGATGTCGCGACTCTTGTCAATAAAGCGACGCTGATTGATGTCGCGTCCACACCCCTCCCTGCCGCCTCGGGCGCGTTTTGACAGCCGGCCTGTTTAAATATAGCAGCAGTATCATCAGCTCGGGGTAGCAGCAGCAGCAGCAGTAGAGGAGTCGATGGACGGCTGCGAGCTACGGACAATCTCAGCGAGGCTGCGGCGTTCCGCTGTGGCAGCGCACGCGGTCGACGAGACCACTCCTGACGACGGATTTAGTTGAGCAAATTAGACGCCGCCTGAGCCGAGGGCCTGGGCATGTCAAGGCGCGGACGCTCCGTGCCATCGCCGGTGATCTGCCGTCGTCGCGAGTGCGCCACGTGGTGGGGCAGAAGAGAAGAGACCCATCGGTCCAGCGGCGCAGCGCGTCACGAGGTTAGTCATTGTGTGCTACCCTACGTTTGTTGCACTTCTTTCGCGCCGTACGTAAGCCAGACGTGCCCATCGTGCCCATCGTCAGCGCCGATCGAGGCGCTGACGATGGGCGACGACACCAACCACACAACGCACAAGTTCCCCCCCCCCCAGTATAACCTACCCAGGCTGGTGGGGAGGCAAGTGTCAGCTAGGCAGGAAGGCCGTCACGGCGCACATGAGGGTGGTGTGGCCAACACCACGCCAGACAAGACTGAGATAAGACAAAGATCCCCCGTATATCCGTAACAGACTTGTGGGGCAAGTGCCGTTAGCCAGCTCCACGCGCGACCGCCTTTGTCTCCCTGGTGGCCTCGTTTACGCACCGCGCCAGGTACTCACTTGAGGCTGAACGGACCTAGGGGAGGGGGACAGGGGCCGGTTCAGATGATCGTCACTCGCGTGAGCGGAAATCGAACTGGGGTCGCAGGGTTCCCTAGCGCAGCGCGCTAACCGCCACACTTACTCCTCCCCGCAGATACACAGACAGAGGCCTCCCATATACCCCGAACAGACTGCTGGGGCAAGTGCTGGTAGCGACACACAGGCGACACACCCGCCCCAGACGGAAGCTCCGTGCGGGAATCCCCGCGCTCTGTGATGATGATGGAGTTACTGATGGAGTTGGGTGGATGGGGAGAGACTCGCGCAAGCATTGGAGAGTGGGCGTGTTGGGGTGGAAGGACGACAGAAGGAATGGTCTCCCCCCCCACCCATCCTCTCTCTCTCTCTGTGTGTGGTGCGGGCGAGCGCTGACAATCCTTGCCCAATTACGCTCTCCACTCACATCCAGAGATTTCATTGGGCAGGAGGCGCGGGAGGCAGCCGCACGCACAAACCATGGAAGGGCCCAACAGCAGCATCAGCAGCAGCATCATCAGCAGCGTTGCCTAGTCCACGACCCCGCCCCGGGCAAGCGACATCGCGTGAGACTCGCACACCGCCGTGTCAATGGCCAAAGCAGCACGAGCGGAGCGCTGAGGTCGGCCCGAGTTTTACAACTTCACGTCCGATGCGCAATTAAAGTAACCACTTCTCTTCTCTCGCACCGCCCCCTCCACCCCACACACACACAACCCAGCGTCTCACTCCCTCTCGATTTTATTTCCCCTCTCGTAATTTATCGAGTCCTTGCCACCACCACCACCTCCTCGTCGTCGTTCCCTTCACCCCCCCCGCCCCGCCGCTGCAACGCTACCCCCTCCCAACACCCCACCCCCCTTAATTATCGGCTGCTAGCTCACTCAAGCACTCCACCTTAATTGGACCTCCTCGTTCGAGGGGGCGAGCGGTGCGTGATGAGCCGGGGAGGCGCGACGTCGCAGTGGCCGGGCGCGGTGCCGCGAGCGGCGGCTGCCGCCGCTGTCACCGCCGCACTCGCGGGCGTTTAGCACCGACCAGGGAGGGGGATGCCGGACATGGCAGACCGTGTCACCGACACGCGGGCGCTGCCGAGTAGCAAGGCTTCCTCTTCCTTCTTCAGCATCGCCCGCCTCCTGCCGGACACCGAGGCGAGTCGCCCGGCCAGCCGAGCATCTCCCGACCCGGACTCACTGTCGTGCCCGAACGAGCCCGAGTCGCCCGTCATCACCACGACGACCGCGACTATCGTCAACAACAACAACAACAACCGCGGCAGTGTCAACAACCACGCCGCCAACACCACTGTTAGCAGCAGCAGCGGCAGCAGCGGCAGCGAGGAGGAGAAGACGGACGACGCGGAGCTCGCGGGCTGCGCTGACGACAGAGAAAAGGGAGCAGGGAGCAAGGCAAGCGACGGCGGCGGAGATGCGAAGGAGGACGCGGACGGATCGAAGGGTGACAAGCCACCCTTCAGCTACAACGCGCTCATCATGATGGCCATCCGGCAGAGCCCCGAGAAGCGACTCACGCTGAGCGGCATCTACGAGTACATCATGCACAACTTCCCCTACTACCGGCAGAACAAGCAGGGCTGGCAGAACTCGATCCGGCACAACCTGAGCCTCAACAAGTGCTTCGTGAAGGTGCCGCGCCACTACGACGACCCTGGCAAGGGCAACTACTGGATGCTCGACCCGTCGAGCGACGACGTCTTCATCGGCGGGCGCACGGGCAAACTCCGGCGGCGCTCCGCGGTGTCTCCGCGCGGCAAGCTGCAGCTCGCCTGCCGACGCAACCCCTACCTGGCCACGGCGGGGTTGGCCCTGAGAGCCCCTCCACGCTTCTCAGCGCACGACTTGGCGCTCATGGACCGCGCGGGGTCGCTTTACTGGTCTGTGTCGCCGCTGCTGCCTCTGCATTCTCATTTCGCCGGCTCCATGCTCGGCTACGGAGGTGCAAGTGGCGGTGGTGGTGGTGCGGGTGGTGGTGGATGCCCGGGATATCCCGCGAGTAACCACGCAGCAGGTCCGTACAGCCCGCTGCAGTTGGTGCAACCTCAGAGCTGCGCGGACGCGGCCGGGCAGACCTTCAACTTGTCCGCGGCGAACGCGCAGGGCCTCTGCCTCGGACGTTTGGGTGGCGGCCATCAGGAGCTCGTTGAGCACTTGGGTCTGCAGTCATTCATGCAGCAGCAGCAGCACCACGGCTCAGCTGCAGCGGCGGCGGCGGCGGCGGCAGCGGCCGTAGCCGCTTGCGGATCGACACCGGTGGTGCCTTGCGGTGGGAGCCCGAGCGGCTGCTCTCTGCACAGCAGCACCGGCGCGAACGGGCCAGCGGCTTCCCCCGGGTTCATCCACGTGGGCCCGGGCACCGGCTACCGCCTGGCGGGGCACCTGGGGCTCGGCAGTTCTGCTCTGCAGCAAGGCTTAGCTGCCCACCACCACCACCATCATCACCACTCGACTGTCGCGGGGCACAGGCAGGCGCACTCGCCGTCACTCATGGGCTTCCCTGGTGCCGGACTGCAGTCGGCTTATTTCGGACACTGAGGAAGATATCCCAGCGCGTAAGTCAGACTCTTGCGTAAAAATCAACAGACATCCCACGTTACTGTGTTTTTTGTTACAAATATGCAAAAATAATAATAACAACGCAGATTTGAAGCGAGGGTTCACTGACGCGGTCATTGAATGTTGCTGTCGAGTGGTCTCGGAATAGAAGCGACGCTCGCTTCGGGCAGTGCACGGGGGTGTGAGGACACAGTGACAACAACACATTGGACGAGTTGTCGTCCTGTGCTCACTTACGCCAGTCCTTTGCAACATTTATCAGACCAGGACTAAAACTGGTCAAGTTTTTATATTATATATATCATATGTAACATAAGCCCTTTGTAAATTAATTGCTGGATGAAGGCCTCCCTCTCTAAGGCACGGGGGCTGTTTGACCATACTTCACCACACTGGTCAGTGCGGGTTTGTGAAGGTGGAGGATGGGGGGAGTACTAATACCAGTTTCTTACATCCCTCTCCGCTCACGTTAACCGTGATCGAGAGTCCAAATCAGATCGCCCGAACTACGTAGCCTAATGTCCGAATGAACTACTGGTCTGTCGCTTCGCAACCCTCTAAGAGTTTTAATTGTGATTTTAATAGTGATTTTAATCGTGATATAACCCCATCTCCACCCCCCATGGATCGTTCCGAAGTCGGAGCTGCTGTTTCTCCAGACCGCTCGTAAACAGCGACTATTGATCGCATATAAATATGTACCTATGTAATGTATGATGTGCTGCAGCATAATGCGGTTATCAACGCTGCAGACTCTTACACAAAGCCACACGTTTACGAGTCGCTTGCACTCATGCATGGGACGTGGTGGTGGTGATGATGATTGTGATTATTACTGTTACAATGGTTGTTATTGTTGTTGTTATTTTTTGTTGTTGAAACTTTCAAGAGTGATTGGCACGTTTTCCTTTTTTTCTGCCGTCCGTCGATTTCTTACCACCGAGTCACGGGCAAGATATTATGTAGCGTAAATAAGCATGTATATATATAAAACGCTAATGTGCAATGTTTTTTTTTGGTTGTTGTTGCTGCAAAAGAAATTCATATATTAAACAAAAACAACAAAACAGCACCAAGGCGGGTACCACGTTCTATCGTTTCCCATACCGATATGTTCGCCGAACTTAAAATTAATTAATTGTTATTGCACGGTGCGTAATATAATTCTAAGGACGCAGTGGCGTAAGCGTAATGCGCACAGTTCTTAGAATAGCAACTTCCGTTGGTTTCCATACGAACAGAGAGCAGTGACATATTTAAGTGCAGGACTTGCTATATCCAATAGACACAGACATATAGTATTAAAATGCCTTTCTCGGGTTAAAACAGTGTTCAACTCGTGTATACTTCCCTGCAGGTTGCGTTCACGAGCGCGTGTGGATGAACACGCAGGGCATCTTTCTAAGATGTGTTTTTAAACAAAAATAAATAAACATGGATCCATCCACACACGTTTCAAACTCACTGATTATCGCGTTCTCATATTATATGTAGGCATGTGTGTGTGTGTATATGTGTGCGCACATGTTAATGCGCTGAAAGTGTACGGCCCTATTTGTAAATTCACTGCTGGATGAATGTGGAGGCTTTTCACGCGCCGGGTCGGTCTTTAGGCGGGGTAATTGGACCGGGGGCGGGGGGGCTTGTTTGACCATACTTCACCACGGTGGTGTTAGTTCGGGTTGGTAACAAGGGCGGGTCGGTAGGTGTGTGTCCAGGATGGGTTCATAGTTTTGCAGTGCGCTGCACCCACCATGAATATTGATACAATTTCGCGTGAAATTATTTCATGAATGCACTGCCTTTAAAATGTTTACTTCAATTATTATGCATGACCGACCGTATTTGCATGTAGGTGCAATACATACGTTATTGTGTATATTATAGATGCATATAGCAGCATATTAAATCATAAATAAATAATCAAGCAACAAAATAATATATACATTTTTAGTCCATCAGCCTTATGAGCCATCTGTGGCAATGTTTCCCAGCCCCATTTGTTTAAAATAACTTTCTTACACGATCCGACTTTACATATTCTATAGGTAGGTACATGGTGTAAATTACTAGAGTTATACACGTGTAGAATATTTTAAAAGACACTCTCGTCAGCACATTTCTTAGAGAGATGCGATTTTGACTTTCAGGAACGATTTGCAAAATAATCGCATCGGATAATCTCCTGAGAAGCATTGGCTTAGGTATGGAGTGTAGTTGTGAAAGGCCATTCAAAATACTGTACGAACTATGTGCATGAACCACTCAATGTGCACCCACTACGTGTGTGGACGTGCCTGTATAATTAACGTTAAAGGAAATGGCTTTAAGGGAAGCACAAACCACTGCTTTTATTCTTACAAAAATGTGTCTCTGTGTCGTAAGTCTATGGGCAATGTTAGTCTAAGGGAAATGTAAGTCTATGGGAAATGTTAGTATATGGGCAATGCTAGTCTATGGGCAATCTTCTTGGTTCTTTCGGTAAAGTCACGTAGAAGGAAAATAATAAAATAATAAAAATAAAACATAATAAAATACAATTTGTGAAGAACCAAGATGAATCCCTGCAGTCACGAAAGCTTTAAATCGAAATCTATGTGCAGTGTTAGTCTATGGGAATGTTAGTCTATGGGCAATGTAAGTCTATGGGCAATGCTAGTATATGGGCAATGTTAGTATATGGGCAATGTAAGTCTATGGGCAGTGTTAGTCTATGGGCAATGTAAGTCTATGGGCAGTGTTAGTCTATGGGCAATGTTAGTCTACGGACAATGTAAGTCGAAAGGCAATGCTAGTATATGGGCAATGTAAGTCTATGGGCAGTGTTAGTCTATGGGCAATGTTAGTCTATGGGCAATGTTAGTATCTGGGCAATCTTAGTTTATGGGCAATGTTAATCTATGGACACTGTTAGTCTATGGGCGATGTGAGTCTATGGGCAATTTAAGTCTATAGGCAATATTAGTCTATGGGCAATGTTAGTCTATGGGCAATGTTAGTTGAAGGGCACTGTTAGTTTATGGGCAATGTTAGTCTATGGGCAATGTTAGTCTATGGGCAATGTTAATCTATGGACACTGTTAGTCTATGGGCAATATTAGTCTAGGGGCAATGTTAGTCTATGGGCAATGTTAGTCTATCGATCTCTCAAAGGCGTTCCCGATCCGCGATGTTTGCTCCAGAACTTTTGCATTCGGCGCTCCCCCTCAGTGGCATCGAGTTGTTGTTGGAATTGCTTGTGGTGTTACTTGATTCGCTGCCCTCCCCGGCTAAGTGTACCTATAATTTGCAGTTATTAGAAAGCGACAATTGTTAATTATATCACTAAAGCGCTCTATGGCAATGTGTGCGCACACATTCATCTGGTCGGCTGAAGTAGGGGGCACGTGACGAGTAGCAACAGCTGTAGCGAGAGATGGATACTGGACGTGGTGTGTCGGGCATGCTTAAGTATTGATACGCATGCTTATGCATAAATATACATGCTTATGCATTAATATACACGCTTAAGTATTGATACACATGCTCATGTATTGATATAGGTACATGTATTAATACGCACGCGTATAGAACTCGGGTCAAGATTGTGCTACTGCAGCATTAACAATGGTGGCGGGCGGGGGGGGGGGGTCTTCCCGTGCCTTCGACCATTGCTCGTAGTTCCACTCCCCGCTTGATTTCATCGCCGAGCGAGGATCTCCCTCGCGTGGCGCAGCGTCGGTGCCGTCCGCACACTGGGGCTCCTCGGGGCTCCTGTTGCCGTGTCCCCGCGTCAAACCGCGTGCCTGCCCGTTGCCCTTGTCATGAGGGAGCGGTGGTGCAGCGGTCAGCGCCGCGCTGCGCTACGAGCCCGACCACCCCGACTTCGAATCGCGCTCATGTGCCAACACCAGCGACGATTATCTGAAACCGGTCTTGCCCCCCCCAGGTCGACTCAGCAGCAATGTGTAGTGAAACATCGTCAAAGGTGGCCTGGCGTTGCGTTGGCCACACACACCCCCTTGTGTGCAGAGGTGCTACTCGCGATGAGAACTTCCCCAACAGTCTTTTGAAGCTATACACGGGGGGGGGGGGGGGGGCTTTGTCTTTCTTGCCTTCACGTCGCCCGTACCGAAAGTTGTGCACGATGTTGACAACGCGGTTGTGAGAGGAGTCGTTTTGTGAATGCGCATCTTACGGTCTGGTACATTGGTGGTGGTGGTGGGTGGGGGGGAGCGAGGTTTACTTTGACCACACGGCTGGCAAAATCTATCACCTCGCCTTGGTTTGATTTGCTTGCTTTCCCGGTGATGGTGGTTATGATGATGATGGTGGTGATGTTGATTATGATGATGGTGTTGATTATGATGTTGATGGTGGTGATGTTGATTATGATGATGGTGTTGATTATGATGATGATGGTGGTGATGTTGATTTTGATGATGATGGTGGTGATGTTGATTATGATGTTGATTATGATTATGGTGGTGGTGATGTTCATTATGATGATGATGGTGGTGATGTTAATTATGATGTTGATTATGGTGGTGATGTTGATTATGATGATGGTGCATTAGGGCATCGGCACATTTTCGCCAACGCGTTAAAGCACCTCCGTATACCTATGCCAGGTGTTCAAATGTAGACCCCCCCCCCCCCCCCCCCCGATGGCGTTTTGGAGAATTGTGTGTTATACGGCACGATGCCCGGCGGTTTTTTTCTTTTCATGCACTCGATGGCAGCTTCGTCGATGAGCTGAAACGTCGGACATCGCGCCGAGCAACACGCGGTAGCACAACTAGGAGAGACACGCCGCGCAGAGCTGTCCAGCACAGTCGAGGACACCGGCGTTGAAGAGGTGGCATTTATAAAAACAACAACAACTATTTATAACAATCTCTGTCTTGTAATGGCTAGCCGACTAAGAGACGTACACGCGTGTGCGGTTTAATTTTTGCGTGACGGTCTTAAATGCGGGCGGGCTTTGCTCGCTTTTTATTGACTCTAGCGTCACACT